TAGTTTTGGTAATGTCTGTATTTCATCATCTACTAAAATGATGGATATTTTCAAATCACAGTAAACTTGATGCAGATAACTAAAACATATTTATTCTCATCACGGCAAAATTCTATTAGCAATTCTGACAGATTATATCTCATTATTCAATGTATAAGGATGCATATATTACTATAACACAAATTTTTAAAAAAATATTTTGATAAACTATATTTCAATATAATTGGTTTCTTTGATAACCTTATATATTTACTTTATATGCTTAATATTCTGAGTAAGAGTTCCAAATGCTGTATGAGAGAGCTAAAAAGATCCGTGGCACCAAACATGGCAGAATCTACATTGTATAACTCCATCTCTCTGCCTCTCTGTTCATCCATCTGGTGTATATTCATTGAACATTTACCAGGGATCGTGACTTGTGCTAGGTCCAAAAGGACGTCAAGATGAGAAAACCACAGTTCCTTAACTCCAGGAGGGGTGAGGAGAAGCTATTGTGTGGTAACTGCGGTGTTATAACTTTACACAGGGAGCCAAGGAGGCCATCAGGGGGACAGCTGACCCAAACCAGGGGCTGAGGAAGGCCTCTTGGAGATGCCACTCAACCCAAGTTTTAAGGACAAGTAGGATTTAGTCAGGAAAACTTAAGGAAATAACATAATCTATGATGTCATAAACCATGGCATATTCTTTTGGAACAACAGTGAGTCTGATATATTTGCTCCAGGAATAAGAAATAACTTAATACTGAGCTGAAGCACCATAAAACCCTACAACTGTCTTATACTGTGTATAAAGTCTCTCGATCTTGGAAGGAAGACAGTCAGTCCAGTAGATTTTTCAAAGTTAAAAAAAAAAAAATAGAGCCTGGGCTGGTGCAGTGGCTCACACCTGTAACCCTGGCACTTTGGGAGGTTAAGGTGAGAGGATTGCTTGAGGCTAGGAGTTTGAGACCAGCGTGGGCAACATTCTGAGATGTTGTCTCTAAGTCTATGTGAAATAAAGATCTAACTGGGTGTGATGGCTATGATCAGGCCATTGTACTATGGTCTTCACAACAGAGTGAGATCCTGTCTCTTAAAAGGAAAAAAAAAAAAGCCAGGCATTGCCTGTGGCTCAAAGGTGTAGGGTGCTGGCCCCATACACCAGAGGTGGTGGGTTCAAACCCGGCCCCGGCCAAAAACAGCAAAAAAAAAAAAAAAAAAAAAATCCTATTTTTCCCAAGAATATAAAAAGCCCTCTGCATGTGAGCAATGGAAATCTTACAGTAGAAACTCTGAATTGGGAACCAAAGCCTCTGATTACAGCATGACAGTTTTCAAGGGGAAGAGAAGCAGAAAGCCGTCTTGATGACACAATAAAAAAAGTATTTTCAGACTAACTTTTCTGTGGCATCCTGGCGATAACACAAAGATACATTTTTCATAACTGTTTTAAGTTAAGTAACTGAGATATATGGAATGATTTTTGCAAGAAAATGTGTAGCTCAAAAAATTTTCACATAGGATAGCCCTAGATAGGTATGAAGTTTCTGAACGCCCCTGAAATGGGGATACTCTGTGGAAATGGCACAGAGTACCTTTGATCAGAATAACTAAAATAAGGATACTTCTCATCTTCGGAAATCGGGTGTTTGGAAGGCAGGAGGCAATGCCCACTGTCTTCCTAGAACTATGTGCACCTTTAAGTTTCCTTATTTTCTCAAGCAGACTGAGACATACTTTGCTGATTCAACTCTTACCAATATTAAATTACAGCATGTTTCCTCTTTCTCATTATAGAAACAAAAAGTTGCAATAAACTTCCTGTCGCTCTGTACCTAGTTTCACTTAGGAATTAGAACTGTATTATCCTAGTGGAGAGTTCAAATTCAGCTGGTAGGACAGAGAATTAACTGCAAGGAAGCTTTCCATCATTAAACGAAACAATACCTTGTTGCCCCATATCCTACAGGTACATTTAATGCCATCTTAAAAACAAATCTATTCCCTGGAGTGGGAAACGGTTGTTCCTATGACTGTGTGTTAATACTAACCCTGAAATGCCTGCCATCTACCATTATGCCCCCATGTTTCTCCCATAAAAGTCTCAGTAAACGTACAGCCCCAACACAGTTACCATGAACAGGCCTCTATCTGGGAATGATTACACTTGCATATGGATTTAACTTAGGACAGGAATAAGTTAGCACCTTTCTTTGACCTTTTTCTGAGCAAAACATACGAGTAGAATCCAGGAACCATGAGTGTTTTACAGCAGCTGGCTCCCACAGGTGGTAAGACGGGCTCTGACACACGATGGGTCGGTCATTCAGCAAGTGTGAATTTTGGAAGGGAGCATCTGCCAGTCTTATTATTAACTGAGAGTTGAGTTGTTTTTTATGAACTTCCAATCTGGAAAACTTAAGTGCATTTTTGAAATGGATTCACTGATAATTTAACTGAAAAATAAAATACCATTTTTCTTGTATTTTTCACATCCCTCCATGACTAGATGCAGCTGAAAGCCCTGGAGAGAGGGTTCTTCCTCCTAAGGCCCCAACGCTCCCCGTTCAGCTAGTGAGGACTTCCTTCTGGTTTCAGAATTTCAAACTCTAGCCAAGTGCTCCTTTAGAAATATTGGCATTCCCAAAAGTCTTCTCTGAGTGAATATTTTCAATATTCTGAAAATATTTTTTTAAAACCTAATGCCTTTCTTGCTTTAAGATAATTGTATCAGGAGATTATGAAAACATGAATGAACATTGTAGGCAGGTTTAAGTCCAATGTATCAAAGTTTATGAAGGGGTTCTAAGCCCAGCAGGGCAGCTAAGGTTTTACTGGCAGGCTATAGGTTCCTGGGTCCTGTCAGAGTTTGCCACTCAGCAGGGGTCATTTCACTGTCCCCAGCAGATACCACAGTTCAGCACCAACTGTAAAGATCAAGATTAGTACTGTCCATCAGAAGTATAAAGCAAGGCACATATATAATTTAAAAAAATTTTAGTAACTATGTTTTAAAATACAAAGGAATGGATAAAATTACTTTCAATATATTTTATCTAACCCACTGAGATAGGGAACTGGCAGAAACTGCTTTAGGCATTGCTTTGGGCTACTGAACATTACCTGAATCAAGAAGTCTCAAAGTTGCAAACTACCTTGATCAAAACAGGATGGAGGCAGGGCAAGTCCAACCAATTAGAACTAAGATGTGGAGGAACACCCACCAATTCCATAAATATTCCTCTCCTTGGTTAGTCTGTTGCCTAAATAGAAATAGAACAGGAAGCGGGGGGCTGGTTCTCTTCAAGGAGTATAGCCTCTGGTCTGTCTGTGGAGCAGATTTCTATAGTTTCTGAACAAATCTCAGTTTGACCTGATATTGTCAGCTGGTTTTCTAATTCTTTCTTGCCTGAAGCCAAGGACCCCCCATTGGGAGTCCCTTCTATGCATCACCACTGTATCTAAAATATTATCTTTTCAATCTGTAATCAATATAAACATTCATGAAATATTGTACTGTTTTAGGAAGTATTAAAGTTTTGAAATCCAATGTGTATTTTATAAAAATTACATCACCTCTCAATTCAGACTAGCCACGAATAACCACATGTGGCTAGTGGCTATAGTATTAAACCAGTGCAGCTCCTTCCTACTCAGGATGGACAGACAGAGTAATGATTCCATGGGAGTACCACAGCCACCCAAATTCTAGGGTGCTTAGACATATTCTAAACCATTGTTCCCTTACAGTTTCAGATGTGTCTGTGTATGATTCTAGTATTTGCAGGATAACTTACAAACGATGAGTATTTCAGAAAACAGGTCTTGGTGCTAGCGCAGGACATTCCTACTCTTAATGTGTTGGAGAGTAAAAAAGACAAGCTTGCTACTGATTAGGTCATATATAATGTTAGTTCTTTGCGACTGTTCTAATTTATGTTTCAATATAACTCATTTATTCTATAAATAGCAAGTGTTCTCAGTAGGAGACCAGGAGAGGCTAAAATGCACTGACAAAATAGGAAAGTATTGATCTAAAAGTAAATTCAACAAAACCAGGTGGTAACATATATTTAAGTAACTATGCAATCAGCTTTGCTATTCTCTACACAACTTTCAAGGATAACAATTTTAACTAGTAAAACTGCCTCGCAACCTCTAAACCTTTGAGGTCTGTATTCTAACCAATTCTAGTCCTTCATCCTTAGTAAATATTTCTGTCCATCTACTTATTACTTATCTCCTTGCAACACCAAAGTGGTTACCTTAGGCAAATGTTCCTTTATGGTTTCATTGTCTCTCTTCACCACCTCCATCATTTCTTGGCCTCCAAGGTAGGCAGCATTAGCTACATTTAAAAAATAAAAAAGTCAAACACTTAGAATACATAGAATAAGAACAAATGCCAAATTTACTTTAGTAAACTCAATCCTCCTTCCTTTTCTCCTGGCAAGTCTTACCTGATTTGAAACACTAGTGAGACCAAGAGAAAGATGTCAATCACACAACCTGCATGGTCTCTGGAACTAAGAGCACGTCCTACAAGCGAACCTCTCAGCCTCACTTAGCTTCTCAACAGCAAAGTGTAGCTGTGCCCCAGCCTAACGTCAGACACCACAGCAAATGATGTGTTGTAACTGGACCTGACTACTATGTGTTGCTATGATTCAAAGATGAGAAGCACAAATTATTACAGATAAATCATGCATGCTGAGGAAATGTACACAGTTACTAACATGAAATTGCATTGGTTTTTTTTTTTTAAAGGCAACAACTGAAAATAATGTTTATTTTTAAAAATAGGTTTAAAGGATCTCTAAGAATTTTCATTGAGGATTAGTCCTGTTATACTGGTGGCAAAACGAGCAAACTGATGCTCACATTTAAGATGTCAAATACTTGGAAAGAAGAAGAAAGCCAGAGATAACATACATTTATGTGGCTTTCTTACACCCCCTTGGATTCCACTTAGGTTGATATCATGAATTGGCTTTTTTTTTAAATAACATTAACCTTGTATATGCCAATCCCTTCATTTTGAATCTTCTGCCACTTTAAGTATGATTCTTGAAATCACATAAGTGGACTTCCTTAAAAGTGCCGTTTGAAAGTCTCTCTCTTAACTAAAGGAACCAAAAGATATTCCTGCATATTGAGATCAAAGATATTTGGTCAGACTCCAGTCAACTTGTTTGTATATCCTATACTTTGCTATTTCTGACTCTTTTTAGAATAAATGATAAGTTTTCCTCCCCACCCTGGCTTTAAAAATTTCATTTTATTAATAGTATCAAAGCATAAACTTCATTTATATTCATCTAGTGGCTAAGCCTTACCTAAACACTGGAAAACTTATAGATTTTTCCCCTTTGCTCTCTGGAATTATTCATGCAGACGAGGCAGGCCCTTGGCATAGGTGTGTATTCCCTATGCCTCCCTCCGACCCTATTTTTCCCATGCCTTCTTCCCATCCTGCTTCTACCCCCATGGTTCAAATTATCAAGAATTTTAGTTCCAGATTATTTTACATGTTGCCTCTACTTTAATGTTTTATCAAGGTTAACAGTGATGGAGTTTATATATCAAACTTCACAAAAATGTTTACAGCGAAAAGCCATAGTTTCTTGTTCCATTGTTTCCTGCCTCTAGCCCATCCCCCAGAGGAATCTTCTCTTAACTTTTTTAGCTGTCTGTCCACTGTCTGTCCACTGGTTACCTCCGTACTGCTAAACATCAGGATCGTCTTGCTATATTTCAGTAACTTATTCATTATTTCTGCCGAGCTGCTATGATAGAGTGATAGATGGGGATTTAGCTCACTTTATGGCCCTCACATTCCTTCTTACCATCTTCTCAGTATGTTTAGATCTTATTTTTAATTCCTCTATGATTACTTAAATAATACACTTACACTTTTATTGCTAGATATTGTTTACTGCTGAGCCAACTCGTCTATGAGGCCACATTCCCGTTCTCACAAGAGGCCCCCCCTCCAATGCTGTTTTTGTTACAACCACTGCCTTTCCCCCCAACTCTCACCCAGCACTTGGCCTTCTGAGTCAGCTCTTCACAGTCCTTCTTTCCAGGACCCTGAGACCCTCTGTTCTAACCTGTACTGCTGCCAACTTAGAATTTCTCTCGGCTGCCTTTTTGGGCTGTTTTCATTGTTTTCTAAGTCCCAGTTAATTAACTCAATCACTTATTTATTCATTCAGAGACGACAATACTGTATGCCAGACATTGGCACTGGAGGTAGCGCAACGGACAAGAAAGAAAAACTGCTGCCATTACTGAGCTTAGAATTCAGTGTTGGCAGCAGTGAACACAAATACATGACAGACAGGGAGAAAGTAAAATAAGTTCAGGACATAGAATGTACAGTGACTGTGGGGGCCTGTTTTATGTAAAGTTCACCGAAAAAAACCTCTCTGACAAGAGGACCTGTGAACAGAGATTGAATGGGATGAGGAAGTGGGCCATGCAGGCTCTAGACGAGAATAGGAGGGGAAACTCCCTGTGTCCGAGGACAGCAACCAGAGCATGGGCTGCCCAGGACGACGTGGGTGGGAAGGGGAGGAGGACGGGGCTGGAGTGCCAGGTCCTGCTCTCCGTCTTGTCTGTGATTGCCTACGTACTTCTGCAGGAGCATATCTTTAGATGACTTCTTAAGGGAAAGCATGCTACAGGAGAAGTTTCTGGAGCTTCTGCCTGTCTGAAAAAGTCTATTCTTCACCTTTGCACTTGACTGAGACTTGGCTAATTAGAGACTTTCAAGTTGAAAATAATTTTTTCCCAGAACCTAGAAGACACTGCTCTACTGTCTTTAAATAACTTGCTACTTTTGATGAAGAGCTTACACGTAGTGCCACTTTGATTTTCAGTGGTTTGAAAGCATCTGCATGTGCGTGTGCACAATTCTGGACACTTTTAGAATCTTCTGTATTTTGCTGATGCACATTTTATGATAATGTGCCTTGATGTCGAGCTTTTTCAGTCATTTGACTTTTTAGTTTTTAACCTCAATTTTATTTTCTACCCCTTATAATAAAGTTTTAATTTTGACAATCACATACACACACACACACACATATGCATATATACATCTATTTGGAGACAGAGTCTCACTCTGTTGCCTAGGCTAGAATGCCGTGGCATCAGCTTAGCTCATATCAACCTCAAACTCCTGGGTTCAAATCCTGCCTCAGCCTCCCCAGTAGCTGGAACTACAGGTGTTAGAAAAATGCCTGGCTAGTTTTTCTATTTTTAGTGGAGACACTCTTGCTCAAGCTGGTATCAAATTCCTGAGCTCAAGAGAGCCTCCTGGGCCAGCCTCCCAGAGTGCTAGGATTATAGGCGTGAGTTACTCTGTCCAACTGACAATCAGATTTTTAATTTACATGGAATCAGCTTGGGTCTTTGATTGTATCTTCTTCAGAGCATTCTGTTCTTGTTTTTATCAACATATTTTCCCAATCTTACTTACTTTGCTCATGTTTATTCATGTTGGAGGCTTTCCTTGAATGTCTGGTGATCCTCAGTTATTCATTTTTAACACAAATATGGTAATCAGCTTTATGACTGACAGGTTTCATTTTAGAATTCCTATAATGTTACATCAAATATGGTACCACTATACTGGAACACTACGTATATAAAGGTCTTACTTCTAGGCTCTTAACAATTTTTAAAAAACACTTAAAAAAAAATCTGGAGGTCAAAGTATGCCTAGCTGCTGTGTGTGCTTTGTGAAATGGCAAGGGTGGGGAAGACTGATAGTGATTAATCCCTGTTTTTAGAAGTGTGTATCAACCTCACCTTTCCTTGCTCAAACTTGGGATCTTGAGTCTCAAGTTCTTAGGGGATTCTTATGCTCATTTTTTGGCTATATGAGTATGCCCATCATCTAAGCCAGGCTTGTGTAACTAAACTTTATGTGATAACACAGATGTTCTATGTCTGTGCTGTCCAACACATTAGGCATTAGGCCCTTGTTACTATCAATCACTTGAAATGTGGCTGGTTTGAAATAATTATAATTAATTTAAATTTAAATAGCTTCATGGGACTAGTGCTCACTGTATTAGATAAAGGGCTGAGCTCTAGTTCCCTGTATCTTGTTTCATCAGCTTCCCCTACCCAGATCACTGTCATCCATGAATTCACTAAAATTTTTATCGACTAGGGTCCTCCCTCATTCCTCCATGAACTTCAAAAAAACTTACTTTAATAAAATTTTTGACGGATACTAGAATGAAATGAAGATAAGTATTAGTGATTAATCGGCCCTTTCAAAGTGAAGTGATTTTTTGAATTATTTTATTAACCTATTTAATTTCACAGCTATAACTAGAAACATCTATATTATTTTAATTATGGATTTGACCAGTTTCTTTGTTCATAATAGGACACCTATTATGTTCTAGACACCACATGATCAAAAGAGAAAATCCTCACCCTCACGGTATATACAGTCTAGTAGTTTTTCATATAGATATGCTGTTTTTCATATACAGTCCATAATTGACTATGCCCTACATTGACCAACTCCTTAAGTCAACCTAATTTTTACAGATTGGACATGTACCACATGTACTGAATGTAGTTCCTTATGTGGACCACCTTCATATGTTGACCAGTTTGTTACAGCCCCTTGGGTAGTCAATTTACAGAGATTAGACTACATTTTATATTAAGCAAATAGTAACAAGCTACCTTCTCAGTTCAAGCATCTTAAACATAGTCATTATGTAATCTTAAAAAGATTTTTATTATTCTTGTCTGTGATATTAGCATGAATACATATAGGAGTAAATAATGGACATTTTCTCAGCTTAATCTCCTAAATCTGGACAAGACACTTACTTACAGCTATACATAAGAATCTGGAATATAAGGCTATA